TGGCATCAGCATCACTTGACGGCTTGTTTTGCGTGATCACATTTCATTCTGAATCCGATTGTTCGAAACATTCACAGCTCAAATGAGGAAAACCCAGAAGAACTGATAAACTAGATGCAGTGGAAGTAATCGCTGGTTCTGAAGGAGCATAGCTATGAGAGCCCATAAGGAACTCAAAGATATTCAGATGAATTGGTTAGTGGTTGAGGGAATGAACGAAAGCAGTTGCAGCTGTCTGCTTTTTATTTATGAAAAGATCACAGGCGTCATTTTCATCAGAATGGTTAGGCTGTAGAGAACTCGGTTTCTTCGAACACGAATTGAACTTCATCGTTGTCATGTCCAGTTTTGACTCCTATCTATTGAATCATCACTTGCCCGATAATGAAACATATAAAACGATTCACAATATTCTGTTTTCTTGTAATTGTGCTGCTTACGGTCTCAGTTATCTGATCATCTACTTGTCACCTCCAAGTAAGGAGTCTCACTACTACAAGATGTTGATGCACTCCCAAGGAGTAAGTTAGTCACTTCCGTTCTCTTTAAGTTGTATTTTGCAGGCATTCTTATTCTTGTTCTCTATCATATGGTCTCTACTTCTGAAACCTATGTTTCATCTTAATTACAATTTTGGCTACTGTGAAGGATACTGTTACCTGATTGGTCTAACATGTGCAAACGGCTTGATACTCTTTACCGTTGTCTTCGGAAGTTATGCTTTCACTATCGCATGTAGTTACTTGTTCCGATTGTACTTGATAGTCGATCATACTCACTTCCTTAGGGTAAGTGTGTCAGAGGTTCAGCTTAATCTCTCTTCCTCTTCCTGCAGACACCTTATCTCTTTCCTATCATCTGTGTTGTCATAGAATTTTTTTTCTCTTTGGTAACATCAGTAGCATTCCACATTGGATATAGCGAGTTTGAGCCGAATAGTCTTCCATTCAACGTGAGTTCATCGGGGGGCAGGTCATCCTCTTATTTGAAGTGATTTCAGCTTTCACACGAGCAATTGGATTACATGTCAATGAGGACAGTTGTATCTTATAGAATGAAGACTATCAAAGAAATAGTCTTTCCGGTATATTCGGCTTTGTTGCTTCTGCTAGCTGGAGTAGTAAGCTCATCTCAGTCTCATGCTGAGTAGAAGTCTTTGAACCTCATCCATGACTTTCAGTTGATTGTATTAACTGCATTTGAGATCGTTCGAACTATCCATAAGAAACAAAGCCTTATGTCTACCGGAACATCCAATCATCATCTGAAAGTGCTGAAGGTTTTAACGATCCAGGTAATCCCTGTT